ATTGATTGAATAAGCCATGCATGTTTTGTCGAAATATAAACTAAATTTTTTAAGATTCAGTTTTCTCTTTTCTTTATCAAGTAAATTTGTAAAAACTACAGATTAATCCATCGATGCATAATTCATGCGTGTCTTTCTTTCTTAGTTGGCATAATAGATTTATAAATGGGTTTTGGTGTGTGTGGTTTATGGTTTATGTTGGACCATCCATCACTCGTTAGACAGATATACATGAGAATATAATTTTGAATATAATTTGTATTCCTGATTTAACAAAGCATTAGAAAAATAAACGGAATGGCTTTTTAAAAAAACCCCACCCGAAAGCTCTCATTTTTAAAAACAATAAAGTGCGGCATCCTAACGAATAAAATGAACGAGCTGATAAACATTCAAGTCCTTTATTAAATTTGTGTACTTACAGTAACTATCCGTAGAAGTTTGAGCTCTTTTCTTACGAAGTGTGGATTAGTAGCCCATTCATTACCACAAAAGTACATTTTCCTTGTGCTCTTAATGGAGGCGTTTTTTCGTTAGCCAAGGATAAAAGAAATTTTTTTATGACGAAACAACTCAAATTGGCAAATTCAATATAAAAAAAACTTTTTTTAACAAGATTAGTATCATCAAGCACTCAAAATAAACATAAACATGCGAAGTTGTGTCGTCATATATATACTACTTTAAATTCAATATCAACAAAATTGACTCCGATTCAAAAATAAAACAAACTTTATTAAAAATTTTTTAAATTTTTAAATTCTAAAAAAATGACAACCGTCGAAAAGGTTGAAAAAGATTAGAGGGATGCGAAAAGGAGATTGGAAAAGACCGAGGAAAAGTTGGAAAAATTCGAGAAGTTGGAAAAGTTGAAGAGGAAGTTGAGAGAGTTGGGTAGAAAAATAAGAAACGGAAAATGGGAGGAAGAAAAGAAAAGTTTCAAAGGGGAGAAGAAAAGATTTAGAAGAGGAAAGAGACGAAATAAGGTTGGTCTTTTCTTTATTATTATCTCTCTGCTCTAGATTTGTGAATGTGGCTTCATCCTTGACCTCATCAATCTTCTTTCTAAGCTCAACAATTTCATCCAAGAGCTTGGATTTCTCTTATTTCCACGAATCAATTTGGGATTGAGTGCTTTCCATTGTTTTTTATAAAATGCTGATATATTCGAAATAAAAAAATCATGCCATGTTTTTTTTCTAAACACTGATCACTTCTGTCAAGAAAAAACCATGTCGCGTTTTTTTCCAAACACTGATCACTTCTGTCAAGAAAAAAATATATTGTAATAAATGGCGTGTTGAAATCTGATGAAAATTGAAATTTTTTAGAATGCAATCCAAGAAATGCATTATACTTCCATATGCTCAAAGATGCATGGAGCGAATGTATGATTATTCATATAACACTTGATTCGGCTTATCTGCATTATGATGGATTTCGCCTTGAATGTGGTGATTGGAAAGAGTTTAGAGAAAAAATTTAAAAATATCATCATGTATGTAGCTTATGTTCTAACGAATATGCACGTAAAAATTCACATTTCTATTATTTATAATCATTTTCAAACCAAACAACGTTAATATTAAAAAAACCATCTAATTTAAGGTTGCATTTTTGAATTAAATCCTATTTTTTTGACTTTAAGCTGTTGCTAATTCTTTGGAGTTGTCTGCTTTGCTAAAACAAACCTCTCTATTTACCAAAGCAGTTAAAAATTTTCTCTTATTTAATATATTGTAGTGGCCTTTTTCACGCTACGGTATTTTTTCTATTGTCCAGGCTCCTTCCCTCCTCCATGCATGAAAAATTGCATTTTAATACAGAAAACATGTAAAAACATCTATTCCATATCATTTCTATATGTATTCAGTGCCTATTACTATTCATTACTCGTTCATACATAATTTATAGGATGGGACGCATATAAAAACTGCATTTCAATGAAACAAAGTTTATATTTATATCAATCTGAATCAAATCATGATACATCGAGTTAATTTATATTTATATATTAAGTAGTATATATCGATTCAAATTGAGCCAAAGCACAATTTGTAATCAATTCAAATGAAATAAATCAAAAACTAGGTAATCCAATATGAATTTGTTTGAAGACTTACAATTAAAACATATCTAATAAATCTAAATCAACCTGTTGAGAATCTAAAAAGAAGATAAAAATTAATAAAATATTAAATTTTGGTTTAAAAAACAATTAATAGTTACCTTTATGATTACTAATAATTGTTACTTTATTGGAATTGACAGGTTGAGGAAGATCTGTGAATTTTAATAATCTGCTAGTATAAATAGCATTTGGATGAATTGTTGCAGTAATTGTTGAAGGATCAAATAAAATTTCATCCATTTTATCAAATACTTTTCTAATTGATAATGTAAATTTCCAACCATTAATAATATTAAATATTTTTTTAGCAGTTGGGCGTTTATCTGGGTTAGCATCCATGCATTTGTATGCTAATTCAATATAGAATTTTGGGGTGTTGTTTGAGAATCCAGGTCTCAAACCTTCACATACATTCATTGCAAGACCTAAATCATGTGCCAAGTCACTGAATGGTTGTTTGCCAGTTGACACTACAGACATCAGGACTCCAAAACTATATATATCTGATTCCATTGTATATAGATTCTCTCTTAAAGCTTCTGGTGCAACATATGGCAGTACTCCAAATATGTCATTTTTATTTGATGCTGATGTTTGACTAGCTAGACATGATAATCCTAAATCTGCA